ACGTCTAAAGCCTCGAAAGGATTTATGGTATTGTCATTGCAAGTTCGCTTGTCTTGCTCCCTCTTAAAGGCAGCGGTGCCTGCGACTATACGCCGCCATTGATTGTTGTGATGTGAGCAATGCATTTGCCACTAGTTTAAACAAACTATCTCTCGTTACCGAACAATACCCTATACCGTACTTGGAAAGGGCCATAGATAGCACCTGTGGACTCCCTCTCCCCCTTCCCGTGCAACTCCTCTAACAAAATAAGTCTATGTAGCTTACCAATGAGGTTCGGCAGCGCACAATCCTGCAGTTCAAACTTTACCCCTTCGAGTGCGCTAGCCATAGGAGGAATATCGAGCAAAACAAGAACAAGTGGGGTATCCTGAACATATTATCTACTTGTTCAGAAGAATTATATAATTACATGACTTAATTATACACATGTTCTGTTAATGACTGCGGCTCCTACCTTTCCGAACACATCTCCTTTAGCGATTTGAAGCACTAGTGAGTAACCAATTTGTCCGGCGGCACCGGTGACTAGAACTCGGAGCGGTGTCTTTGCTTCATGCCTATATTATAAAACAAAGTGAGTTCGTTGAGCATTGCAAACGGCGATGTTAGCGGCACGGCAAATGTGAGCTGGATTAAGTAGAATTGAGACAAAAGTAGGAGAATCATAGGATTAGTGAGGGAAGGAGGCTTCGTGTCAGTAGGAAGAGCAGGAAATTTTGCACTTTCGTGTTTATTTACCCGTCCTCTTCCTCCCCCCACCATGGACATTATTCGGTACCTCCATTCGCATTCTAGACTCAATGTTACAGCAATGTTGTTTGGCTGCACTGTTCTCAAGTTCGAAGCTTGCACACCCGAAGTATGTTACAGTAACCCAGCGAAGGCATTCTATGTCAACTTTGCTCACAAAAAATTGCAAAAATTGCATTTTACAGCGAACACACGTCATATCACACCTCAGACAAAGCGCATAGTCAGGATGAGCCGTTGTAGCAGGTATACCAATGCGAAGAAAATATTATCTTACGGTAGCCCACATGAAGTGTCGACGTTTTGGATTCCATTGTGATAGAACCGCTGAAATAGACCTCACGATTGGCTTGTGCGCTATACATGGTCAATACAGCGATAAACTAATTGCATCATTTCTTTGCTTACTCCAACAAACTAACGTAAACTTTGCGACATCTATCATAGATTACTGTATTTAATTGCGTGTCTAGTCGAGCAGTCAGCGTTGTTCGCTGCCACTGAACTTTAAATAATCAATGAGTATCATCTTGCTTAGGATTTGATAGCATCAGGTTCTTCGGTGAGGGTCCAAAAATTCACATATTTCTATTCATCATCAAACTTGATCCATGCGTAGCTGTGCCACCAAACCAAACTGGCAGCAACTGTGCATCCCATTTTGTAAACCCGCCCGGCTCATCAAATGTGCTCTTGAGCATCTACTCCATTTTCGGTCATAATAATCAGTAAGGCCCACGACAAAGGAGAAATAGCGCAGTACTTTCTTCGTTTGTCAATCACAGGCTGAAAAAGCTTAAAGAATCCGCAGACACAAGGGCTTCACTAAGGCCACCCACAGAAGCTCGCGCTAGTACAGCTCCCTCCCAGCTCCCTTTCGACAAAGCACTCAGTAGCGCAGGTCAATGTTGTCTGTTTCTGTATCTTGCTAAATTCTACACTATCATTGCTGATGGAAAGCAAACTAAACATTAAATTCGTTTATGCTTTGCATCGCTGGAGTGAAGTCGCGTACCGTCGGGGCGCGATTTGGCGGGAAATTGAAGGCAGCGTCCAGGCAGATTTTCGACTTCCATATTT